TTTACACAAATTTACAACGCCACCTCAGCGGAAGAATAATAGGCGGGAATATAAATCAGAAAACATTGCTTTCAAAAAATTAAATAACAAAAAATGCCGAAGTGGAGAGCAATTCGAGAGCTTCTTTTTATGTCTTATTTGGATCAATCAATCGACGACGAAGACTTTATTTTGCTTTTCAACTTATATACTGCTAAAAGTCCGGATTTGCCTTGTTGGAAATACGAAGAGTTTGATTTAGATAAATTAAGCGACGACGAGTTAAAGCAGAATTTCGGTTTATGAAATCACACATTTACACACTTGTGGATGCTTTGAGGCTACCACAATTTATTACATGTTATAACAGCCTTAAGGTTAATAGATTTGAGGCATTGTGCATATTTTTGAAACTTTATTCATACCCTTGTCGATACCAGGATATGTTGCCAAGATTTGGTAGACCAGTCCCTCAACTCTGTACGATCAGTAATGCTGTCATAAACTTTTTATACATGGAGTTTAACCGTTTGCTGTTAACGTTTGAACAACCATGGTTATCTTCAGGCAACATTCAAGAATTTTTTGTAATGCAGTGTTTCAGAAGAGTGGTGCCTTAGAAAATTGTTTTGGTTCTGTCGATGGGATAGTGCGTCCAATTTTTAAACATGGCCAAAATCAAAGAGTTCTTTATAATTTCCATAAAAGAGTTCATGCCATAAAATTTCAGTCAGTTGCTGTTCCAAATCGTCTTGTGGCTAATCTCTTTGGTCCTGTGGAGGGTAGACGCCATGGAAGCGAAATGCTTGCCCAATCCAGTTTATATAACAAGCTTCAGAAGCTGGATCATTCGACAATGAAACTCCTGTTTGCAATTATGGTGACCCTGCTTATCCTCATCGACCTCAACTATAATGCCCATTTAAAGGAGCAAGAATAACTCCTCAACAGCAACAATGGAACGAAGCAATGAGCAGTGTAAGAGTGTCTGTCGAATGGATTTTTGGGGACATAGTTAATTATTTTAAATTCCTTCACTTCAAAAAGAACCTAAAAATACAACTTAGTGCAGTAAGGAAAATGTACACTTGTTGTACCTTTTTTTCACAATGCCAGATGCTGTTTTTATGGGTCTGCAACTTCACAGTTTTTTGAACTTCAACCTCCATCTATACTTGAATATTTTGTGTAAAGAGTTCAAAAATATTCAATCTTATCAAGTTGACTAATTGTTTAATTGACAGAGTTAAGTCATCAAGAACATATTTTAAAATCACTCAAACATACTCTTGCCATGGATAACTTTATGAATGTTTCATCTATAATATCAATAATAGTAAATTGTGTATGTGAAAAAAGTTTGGTCTACTCTCAAACAAAAATATATGGAAGGTTTTAACAAAACATTTCAGTCTTTTTTAACAATATCTGCATCAATGTTAGTAAAGCAGTGTTTTGAAGTTGCAGTTGATGCATTAGTTGCTCTTTCTGCCTTTGCTGAGCAGCAATGCTGTCAGTTAAGGCTTTAGCGACAGCTTCCTGTTGAGAAATGATGTTATTTTGTCGTTGTTTTCTTTCATCAGCTTCAGCTTTTCTCAACATCAAATTATCTCTTTTAAGTTCTGCATTAACTTTTGACTTTTGTTGTAAATAGGCAATTGTTCCACTTCCATTGGATGACATTCTTCTTTCAGGTTTTTCACCATCTTTACTTTGAGATTTTCTTTTGTAAGTTTCAGCTAATGTTTCCATTGACTGTTGTCTCATTTCCACAGACTTTTCTACTTCTGCAACAGAGTTTTGTTTTTGTTTCTCTTCCAAAATTTTCTCTTCTTCATCTCTATTTCTGAAAAATTGAATAATTTACCGAAATTACCGAATTTTTGATTTTCTTGTGCAACAAATTATAGCGCTATGTGCAAATTTCTTCTTTGGTTTCATTGTTATTTTTGTACGTGTCACACAAGTACGTGCGTGACTTAGCGAATGCAAATTCATATACTCAAATTTTTGCTATTAAAGTATGGACATGTGTTGAAAGCCACTGCAAATACACTTGCTTGTGATATGTAGATCGTCTACTAATGTTGTTGCCTTTTAGAGTTCAGCCAATATTTTCATGCTATTGTCCTAATGTCCCAATGTCCTAATTTGTCTGTCTTGTGAAATGCGGAATTATATATTTATATGCTTACTTTATGATATCACGCCAGTTTCTTAGATGGAAACTAATGCCGACCTTAGCCCACACAAGACAAAGCATGTTTTGTCCGTTTTGTTGAAAGAAGTTGATCGAATCTTATGCTTTTTGCGCAAATTGTGGCAAAAAAAATCGAACTATCTGGACTGTAATGTTTATCAGAGAAAGGGCTTCATGAAAAGGAACGTATTCCGGTTACTTTCAATTATTTTAAAAAAAGAAAAGAAGATGAAAGAGCGAGGCACTTCAGACCATCGACTAGTGGCAGTGGCTATAAAGGGAAAGCAAAAAGGGCAAAAAGCATTGATGGAGATCTTAATGAAACTGTTCGGATAAATGTCAGAATTGTGCTTTATGATGGTGAAAAATTAAAGATTCAGTGTTAGAAATCTTTAGTTCTATCCATACAAAAGTCTGCTAATGCTGAAATCTTATTTCAGGCAGCTCTAAATAAACATATGGCACATTTAAAATATATAATTAAGGCTATGACGAAGTATGTGATGCTATACTCAGATGCATCAAAAGTAGCAAAGCTAAAAGAGAGTGAGGAAGATTTTTTTTTGCATAATAACAAGGAAGAATGTAATAAGCCATATCACAGAATTAATTTCTTCCTTTGCCCTGACATTAACTATTCTCTATCAAAATTAAAAGGATGCTTGAAGGATGATAACAGTAGCAGTGATAACACAGATGATGTTGAAGTAAGTAAAAAACAGTCTTCCAAGTCAAACAACAACCATAGTGATCGTGAAAATAAGTCAGTACCCATTGTAGTGAATGATGAACAGCATTTGAAGGTTGATGTGAATAGCAGGAACACTATTGAGAAAGTTGAACAATCTTCAACATTAAACAAAGCCATAGTAATGGTGAAAATTTTCTAATAACATACAGTCATGATATGCTAGCAATGAATTCACCACCTATACCAATAAATGATAATCAGCACGGGGGTGAAAAACTAAGCAATTTGACTTATGGTACTTTAAGTGAAATGTTTCCACAAATAAATGATCAAATTATTAAAGAGACTTTGCATAACAGTGAAAATGATATGAATGTTTTATGCAGTGCAGTGTTTGAATTTATGAGATGAATCGATTCGGGAACCCATGACCGCAGAGGTCATGGGTTCGAATCCCGTTGAGTCACCTGATTTTTTCAGGTCCTGAGACGATTGCTTAAATTGTCCAGCTAAGTGCGAAGATCATATCTCATTTAAGTGAAAATGATTATAAAAATGGCTGTAGTTTACATTCTTGAACTACAAAATCAGGAAACAACACCACATCGAGTGTATGCTTCATTTGGATTCTGAAATAACATTGATGATGATATAGATTTTCAAGGTAATGAAGCATCTCTACCTGGTAACACGCAGGTTACAAAAGATGAGGAAAGGCCAGAAAGCATAACTACCGAGGAGTCTCTTTCTAGCATTGTCAAGAAATTTTTAAAAGATAAGATAAAGTTGATTCAACTTTTAGGATCAAGGTATGTTTTTCACCATGTGCCCAATTCATTCAACTTATTAAAATATTGTATGCACATTTCTTGAACCTTATTTGATAATTCTTATCACAAGATGTTGGGCTTTAATGTGTTAAATCAAGGCATAAATTTTGTTTGAGCAGAATGGTCTAAGATATGAATATTACAGTTGTGATAGAAAGTTAATTATGTCTTAAAATTTAACATGACAGTGCCTTCTTTAATACATTATGCAGTTGAAAGTTAAGATTGAAATATGTTCAAAAACCCGTTTATTGTGTACAGCAGTGCTTATCTAACATGTGTGAATTGCTTCCATCTTAATCAAGTTCATTGTTTTTCAAATGAAGTAGTTGAAATTTGTCTTTACCACTGTAAAAGGAGTGAAAAGGTTGTGAATTTGTTATCCCCATTTTGAACCACCTTTGCATGGTTACAGCACCAAAACCCATTAGTTGTTGATTAAAACAAGATTGAAGAATAGTTTGGTGATCGACTAAACATTGTTATTTAAACCAATTTTCAAAATTCATTTTTTCTGCTGTCACATTAGTCAAAAGTGTGTCACATTAGATTGAAAAAATAAAGACTGTTTTAGCGCAAGTAGGGAAAAGTGGAAAAGAAGTGAGGGGTTAGGGTTGTTGTCAGACTACCAAATTTAAAATGAAATTTATTTGAATTATCAATTTGTTTAAAGTTAACCTTTCATGCTTTTATTGGTATTCTGAGCCTGCGGCCAAAGAATTAAATTCAAAAATTCACAAACTTTTTTCAGGTAAGAAGGAAAAATTTGTGGGGTGATGCTAAATTCAAAATAAGGAAGTGCTCAAATGAGGATCTAACAGCATGATCAAAGTTCAGTTCGTAGGAGAACCTGCGGGTGACGAAGGCGGGCCGAGAAACGAATTTTTCTCATTACTCCACAGTGAAGTATCTAAATCCTGCATGTTTGTTGGTGAGGATTACAGAAAAAGCTTCAACCATGACATTCTTGCGCTACAACAAAGAAGCTTTTACACTTATGGTCAGTTATGTTATGTTGGAATTTTGCAAGGCTCTGCTTCTCCTTGCTTTTTGTCTTCGAGTATTGTAGATTACATTTTATCTGGTGAAATTGATCTGGTAAAATCAACATGCGTTAGTGACATACCCAATCAAAAGATGAATCATAAGCTTCAAATTTTTTGACGTAGTGGTGACGAGCGTGCAAAAACTCTATAAACCAGCCGCTATTCATACGTCAGCAATCTATATTTTATTATATTATACCTACAGTTTTAGGCCACTGTTTTACACGGTCGAAAATCATACCATAAGCACAATATTATTTGTGATGACTATGTTTATTAAGGCATAACCATTATTTTTACGTAGATCCATCATATTATATTATTTCTAAATGAACTAGCACAATATTCATTTACTAGACATAAAACTGATACGCTTCATTTCAGTGTTTTTTTTACCTTAGTGTCTTTGGTTGTGTAAGATAAGTCTAACATTTTTTAAAATGAACAAGTGGTGTTGTGCTTATAAATCTAACTTACAAAAATGTTTATTATAGGCAATAGACTAAGTTAGCTATATTGGAATCACATAAGTAAGTGCAGGCGGCATAATAGCAGATTAAAACTAAGAATTAAAAACTAAGTTCTAGGAGGACGGGAACGAACATAAAAGCTAAAGTCTAGGTAGGAAGCGAAATTAAGTGACATCACATCGGTAACCACACCGTTAACACTGATATTCTTCCTCCCAGGTATTTTTATTCCAACACCAATGGCTTGAGCAACAGTATTATTACATCCTAAAACATAGAAAACACAAATTTGCAGTTACTTTAGAAGTGAAGACTGCTCTTTCAAAATTAATATCAATTATTCTTGCAACTTATCCGCCAAAATTTGTGTTGAGTACCAATAAACTCAAAGGGGATGCAGCATTAACAAAATATTTTTATTTTAAAACATTTGAATGTAGATGGAGTTTGTCAAACAATCCTTTTTTAAAAGTTTTTTTACCTGGTCTGTTAACGGAAACAATACCAAAACGAGCCTGAATGAAATTTACATCTCCAACGTTGAATCCACTTTCGTAACATCGCGATGAAAAATTTGGCAGCTGTGTGTGAATCCATAGTTTTGTAAAAGAATTTAAAAAATATGATGCTGAAATATTCAAGAGTTTTTGACCGAAAAATAAACTACGAGCAGATGGTGCTGAAACTGAAATTTGCATAAAGCCGTAATATGTCTGCAGACAAATAGTGGAGACACTGGCACTCCAAAATTGAGAATTAAAGTTTGTTTGTTCGTCTTCTTTTGACTGCCAAATTCTTGACTCGTAGTTTGTTGAGCTCTATAAAGCATAAAATAAAGCTATATTCCCACCTTTCGGGATCATGATAATATTTCTTTTGAGACTTGATGTTGCAGTAGCTTTTTGCTATCATAGAAGATTATTTTATCAGTATAATACTTAAGTGGATTATACAACACAATACTTTAAAAGGTGAAATATTTGTTATTCAAAAAAGTTAAGCTACAGTTAGGAGTTAGAAACAATTTAAACTTATGCTTAAGTATGTAATCAAAAAACAATGACAACGAGAAAAAAATGTTTCAACATAATGAACTTAGTCGTGCTTAAAAGAGGATTATACTTGATGTAAAAAACATAATCTATAAAAGTATATCATGACTTACTGACGAGGAGCTTCCACTTATGTTTCCAAGAAATGTCCATCCGATACCAGTACATCCAAGGTTTAGGCTACCACCTATATGACATTCCGTTTCAGCATAACCCAAATCGTTTCGTGATTTCAGATAGTATTTTTTTTCATTGCTAGTAAAGTTTAAAAGTAATTCTTCAAATAAACAAAACTAAGTAAAAAAGATAATAAATACTATGTGCAAATGACAATATAAAATAGAAATGCAGTGCGTTGATGTAAACGTAATTTATCAGCAACAAAAATTAAACTTGATGATATATACTTAAATTTTCTATATTTAAAAATTTTTACCTTGAACAAGATTTTTCATGAGCTTCGACACAATCGTCAAATAAAATCGGTCCTTAAGACAAAAAAGTTATATAGTTTTTAAAATTAATGCACACATAGCTGCAAACTCTGATTATTGTCTTAATTAAAAATAATTTTTTCATAAAAAATGGAACATTGATTATTCTTGTGGTTGGCCATATTAAAAAATAACAGACATTTATCAAAGCTTTCATGTGTTGTATAAAAAAATACTATTAATATTTAAATAAAAAATAATAGCTAAATACTGACATAAAAGCACATTACAATTTTGGATTTATTTTCTGCATTTTTTCCAGTCAAACACACGCAGTCTCGTTACTATTAATCACACTCACAGTCACTGAGTATGACTATTATTACCAATGCGTATCTATAATGTTTTTAAAAAATGTAATTAAAATATACAACTATAACTCTATAATTAATACTATATACTAAACACAACAAATTTCACAAATTACTCAGATGTTTTAACTATAAAACTGTGGAACTAATTGGTACTATCATTTGATAAAATAGTAATCATAAAGAACAAAAAAATGGACGTACTTTAAACTTGTTCTACTGAATAATGTATGAAACTTTAGAAATTTAATCTTGACGTATTTCATTTTAGCACACCAAAACACATAAAACCAAGAGCGCAGTACATCGGACTTAAAAATCATATAAATCCACAATGATTATATGTTTAAATTGTATTGGGGGCTGATTATATAAGCCCGGGTAGCCGGGATTCAGCCAAGCGTTGAATGATTTAGGCAAATTAAAACGATTCAATATTCGTCATCAGATAGATTTCAAAAATATAAATTTCAAAGGATTTGTTTTTAAAGTAATAACTAAATTGAATTTTTTAAAAAATGACCACAGCTTTAAGTAACATACACACACTTGAATTATTATTACAATTATTGATAAAAAGTTTAATATAAACAAATACAAAAGTACGACCCTTACCATTTGCACCAATTGTGGTTGTTGAGGTAGGTGTGGCTGTAAAACAAAGAGTACATATATATTGTCTCTCAATTGTCATTATATTGCCAGTTCTGCATGTACTTTAAACAAAACTACTAAGTACTTTGTATAACAAAATTGAAACAATTCTTTTGTTTTTAACAACAAAAGTTAATGGATTTAAAATCATGATAAAAGATTCACAAATAAGAAACTCGTGCCATAATAGATGATTGCATGAGGGTAAGGTATGGGTAAGTGATAAAATTACGTGTTTAATGTTCTTCATTTAAAACACGAGTTGAGAGCAACAAATAAACTCTTTTAAATTTTATACATACTTACCATAAGAAATCGTGGGAGTTGGGAAAATGGTTGCTGTAGTATCTAAAAAATTAAAATTTTATGGAAAATCGTTTAAAAGTAAAAGGAACATGTGACATATCTATACAACTATCTAATACCATTGTTCATAAAAATAAGTTTTTTGATTTAAAAGTTAATAAATTTGATAACTATAGGGAATTCTTAAGATCTGTGTTCAAGAATGTTACATGGTTACAATGTTACAATGCTCGTAGCAATTCCTACAACGAAAAAAAGACAAAACTAGTTTGATTAAATCTTTTAACTCTTTAAAAAAACAATGTTTTACGTACAAGTCAAGGCTTTTTTCTCTAAAACCGTTCTTTTGTTGAGATTTGTGCTAATTTTTATTGGTTGTTTAGGGATAATTTGTCTGGTTAACAACGATCAAAATTTACAAAAAACGTTATTTATACGTCAAAACAAAACTATTGCAGCTGATTTTTCTGCATAGAAAATACGAGAAATACATCTTAAAAATAAAGTAAATTCGTAGAAAAGCCAGAAACACTCGTCATTATATAAAATAACTTACTAATAAAGCGTGGTTCAGCATACGTGGGATGGATATCACAAGAACCATTAAAAAAAACAAAATCATCTAGAGCAATATCACCCGTATAGCTGGAGCCACAAACACCTTCAACGATGATCTACAAAAAACAGCTTTTAAGAAAATTTTTTACCAAGTTTTTAGCAAGAAAATACGCTGTTTAGTGATTCAGATAGACATTGTTTACTTTATTACATATTCAAACTTTTACAAGGTAGTATGCAAAGTTTACTCAAAAACGATTATGCATTTTAGAAATTTAATGTTAGATACATGCGCTTTTTTCACTTTTGATTGCCAAATGAGCAATTAGAGTTCATATGTGCGCTGAGTCTTGGAGTCATAGGTGAGTGAAAACATGCAACATCATGTTTAGTTGCTAATATAGATTGTTTGATCTTTCAATATAAAGTGAGTAGAAAACTATATGAAAAAAAAGTAAGAACGATGTTTTTGAGACAGCTAAAGGCAGCCATAAAGTTGATTGCAATGTTACGTTTGAGAACAAACAAAATTTTGGTCTGGAGACACGTGGCTTACAGGGATATAAGTTTGTAACATTTGTAACACGGATATAAGTTTTAAGACATTAATCCTCCTTTATAATTCTACAACAGCATCCAAAATTTAAAACATTTGTTTTATTAAAACATTTTAAATGTTTTAATAAAACAAATGTTTTATTAAAACATTTAAAACAAATTCAAAGTTTGTAACATTTGTAACACGGATATAATTTTAAGACATTAATCCTCCTTTATAATCCTACAACAGCATCCAAAATTTAAAAGACGTTACAAGATAAAAAAATTTTAAATGGGATATGAAAATGATTTTCTAAGGAAAGTCTACAGCCAAACATTTACCTTGTTGAAGAGTTAAGGAAGAAGATAAAATTACTTATGAGCTATGAACAAACAATTGAAAATTTTTCTTGGAACATTTTATCTTCTCATCTCCCGCCCAACCCTTTTAGCAATCTAAATAAGCTTTCAATGTTGAAACTAAGCATATTTGCACTCTGATATGCAGAGTTTGAGAACATTGATATTTATACTCACCCTTGTTTTTGTTTCCGTGAAGTTGGTTGTAACTTGAGCTCTGTTCCATTGATTTCCTCGATTGCCACTTAATGTCCACAACAGCTTTAATCTACCTCCCATATATTGTTGGTATATATTAAGAGAACCAATTGTTGATCCATACATATTATACCAAAATGTAAAACATTTGCTTGTTGTATTAAAGTAGTCGCTAACCAACCATGCTTTATCACCCAGCACACGGGGACTTGATGTTTCAATGTAAATGTATTTTCCTAAAAGATATTTTTAAGCAAGTCAAGAAATTTTTTTTTGTTTTTTTTTAACAACACTCTCGTTTTTTGAAACTACAATTTGTTTCAAATATGTTTTAGTCATACATTTGCATAAAGGTTTGTATCCATTTCCTTTACTGGAATTGATCTCAGTTGTTTTTAGGTAAAATAGCCATTACAAACAACATGGCATATGGGCAAAGTCCCTAATTTTGTAAGAAAGTCCCTAATCGAGACCGACCTGAAATGGCAGTGTCGACATAACTCTAATGTTAAAAATGATAAAATATTGTTTAAAACGTGTTTTGGAGGAAGTTAGGTAAGATAAAGTCCAGTGTATGTCAACAAAACGATGTTAATCACTTTTAAATAATGCATGATTAGAGTGAATTAAGTGTTCTTTTTTGCTTCGTATGATTCTTTCTTTGAAAATAAAAAATTTAATCGCTGCCAAGAATATTTGTTGATTTATGCAAAATTGACATATGACCATAGTGGTGATTTTCTCAATATATATATTGATCTTAGGCAAATATTGCTTAATTTTTTTTTGTTAAATTTAAGTATTAAGGGATGCAAAGACTGTTTGTAAAATGCCAATGACAAAATCAGCTTTCTATCAGAGATGTAAAATGTATGTAGGATAGTAAAGAAATGACCATTTCACCAATTGTTTTTATACTTATGGAAACAGTCAATGAAAAGACCTGGGTTCGACTGCGTTATATAAAAAAAACTAATTAAATTTTCCTAAAGCGATGTTACAATATTGTTGGAAGACAATTCCATGTGAAATATCCTGAGTACGAGAGAGATATTTCTATAAATTCAAGTATTTGGTTTACCAACCAAACACTTTGCTATCATTACTTCTAGGTATATATGTTTCAGTAGATGAATTATTTCTGAGCATATCTGTGATATATCCTCTGTGCATATCTATAATACATCAAGAAAGATTTGCATTGCTTTAATTGTTGCGTTTGTTAATAGATGTCTTTCGCCTTAAACGCATCATTCATGGTTATGTGATTATATAGAAGCTGTGTTTGTCTAAAAGGAAATATTTTTGCCTTAAAGCACAGTAGACCTTAAAATATAATCTTATTTATTGGAGTGTAGCTCAACTTGCCTTAATTACTTGTTTTAATATATTTAGAAAAAAATAGAATCTTTTAAAACAATCTGAAATGAACAGCGGCGTTTGTTAGGAAACTATAGGCATAGTGTACGGTTGCTCAATCGTGGTTCCATGATCATTCTTAACTTATGAAAAAGTGTATGTAGATGTAGCTGTGTTGAAGAAAATAATAGGAATAATTACTTAATGCTTGCTTCTTTGTATGTACTCTATTTAATGTCGTAATTTCCCACTTTGAAGTAATATCGCTAATTTAGGCTAAAATACTTCCCCGGCTGCACTCAATTTCGTCAATGATAATATTAATAATACTCTTTTTAAAATATCTGTGAAAATCGAATAAGATTTTGGAAAGCTATGTCAACTGAAATGGTCTTTTACATGTAATTACAACTAAGATTTCTATATAATTCACAAAAATTTAGTTGCTTTCGTCATTTTAGACTCTTTTATTTAATTTCAGTGTTTTATTTAAGGATAAGTTTTAAAACATGTATTTTAATTAAAGACTTACCAGTAATCGATCCTCTTCTGTCTGAGCTAGGTCCAGTCCTCGAACTTGATGTTGAGCCTGAATGGATTGTCCAATCAAAGTTGTCAACTGGATAATTAACATTCTTCCATGTGCATCTGGAATTGTCAATGCCATTTTCAAAGGAACAACTACCTATTTAAATGAAAAGTATTTTTTTCATACTCCTCTTTTAGAATACATCAATTTAATGAATTATATGTTTCAAAATCCGTCAGTATAATTTTTACAACAGTTTATAAACAAAGCAAAAATATGTTCAAACATGGATAATTAATAAATGGGCTCCAAGTTGAAAAAATACGATTTTAGATTACCATACTTTCCAAATTTTATCAAAAGATTTTTAGATTTATATTTTGACACGAATAAATGCGCATTTTACGGATTTTTCTATTGCTCCTAATGAACAAAACGTTTGAATAAAAAAGGAACACTTTTTATTAATGTTCATGCGAACATCATTCTATCTTCACGTTTACAAAAGAAACTTTAGGCTATTATTTATTAAAAACACAAATCTAAAAAAAATTGAAAAGTGAAATTATTACCATTTCCCCCAATCGTACTATTTGAATCTGGTGCAACTGAAAAACAAACAAGAAAAGCGTTAGAGGAGACTCTTTACAAGTCAATTAATTCTGCTTTTAATTAAGAAGTTAATATGAGCAAGGTGTGTATAAAGTTAATGGTTTAAACCAGGAAACGTCGTTATATGTTAGTAGAAACAGATCATTCAAGATAGTAGAGTCCTGAGAAGGATTGTTGGTGTTGATGCTGACTAACGTTTTGACAATCTTAGCAGTGTTTATATTCTGATCTAACCAAGGAGTAAACATTAGGTTTGCCCCATCACAACAAATGCGGATCATTTAAAGATGTCATTAATGTTTTGAAAGCTTGCTGTACTGTTTTATGATTTCAACTTGTTTCTTCCTTTCTCCGTTCACGACGCTTAATTTTTTTTTTTTCATTAAATAAAATCCCAATTTTAATTATCATTATCATTAATATACAGCAGTTACAAAAAAACACCGGCACCGTAATAAATAAACGCTAGATCGGCTTGTGCATAATAAGATAACTTCCTGTGAAGTTATAACTAATAATTAACAAATAGTATAATTAAACTAATGCTAATGTTGCTAAACCTGTATATAACTGGTTTATACTAGAAAAATGAGTGTTAGCAAATGGTAAAAAGTATAGCAATTATATAAGTATTTATAGAAAGTTATGTCGTATTAGTATTTTAAAAGCATCATGTAACATGTGTATACTTACAAGTACGTCTGCCCGATCTTCCAGATCTAAAATCAGCATACAGGCTACTTATATACCGGACAAGAACAGAAGCAATATGTTGTATTGTCGTCGTATTTAAAGTTAAATTTTGCTGTCCGGAAACAGTAATAAGATCAATTAAGGTTGTTTGCTTCACAAGCTCAATCTGATAAGGAAGTGCTCGAAAATATCCAACCATATCGATATCAGAAAATTCTCCATTATTCGTTAAAATAACCGAAAGATTCGAGGAATATAGTTCTGATAAGTTTTGAAACACAACTCCAATTGCTCTTGAGTAGTACATGGTTAGATTAGTGTTCTGACCTACAAGAGAAACTCTTGCTAATTATATTACCTCATTTATTGAATTTACATTTCAAATTAATTACTACTTGAATAATTAACATCATATTATTTAAATTTCTTCTTACTATTTAAACTCAGTGGCAAACCAGGCCTGTTTCTTACTAGTACAATGAGCGTAAACTAGTGTTAAATAATTAATAACAAACGAAATCAAAACAGAAAAAATTTTTTTGGCTGAAATTCAACTGCTTGTGTAGAGGCTCTGTCTATCTTTCCTTAAACTTTGAAATATTAGCAAAATGTAAGCAATCTTTGACACTAAAGCAATTTGTAGAATACTTTTCTGTATATCAGTGATATCACTTGAAGTGTTGCTGATAATTATGCAATAATCTACTCCGTGCTTACATCTTTTTACTGAAATTTGCATTACATTAATAAAGAATTTAGAGCTGTTAAAATTCTTTCCATCGTATTAGCGATAAGTTCAGTTGTTGTCTACATTAAAATCCTTTATATTTCGTTACTGCTGATTGTAAAGAAAAAAACTGACCTTTTTTGAATAAAATTAATGAAAAAAATAAAGTTTTTTTTTACCTCTTTGAATTGTTTCAATAAATGGCTGCAAGAATTTTCTGACATCCATAAACACGCTGTAATATCTAGCTTGCACACAAGAGCGTCCCCAAGAGACTATCCCTAATTGTATCCAAGTATTATTGCGTTTACATTGATAGGGACCACCACTATCACCATTACAAGCACTGACTCCACCTGATCTACGACCACCACAGACTGACCTTGGTGAGACTCTCCCGTTAAAAAAGCTAAAACTATTGCATTCTTGAAGACTAATAACATCAAGTTTCACCTGTTGTAAATATGGAGAAGTGAAGCCAGATGCAGTACGTCCCCAGCCAATCACAAAACAATTATCATTTCCGTTAAAAATATCATCTTGACTTGGAAGACAGACAGGCTGCACACGTTCGGTAAAGTTCAAAGGTGTCGGGAGTTTCATCAAAGCAACGTCATAGTCCGCAAAATATACAGGTCCGTTTACATAATATTTAGGATGAATATACATGGCCACTGACGTCAAAGAGTATTCATAAACACTGGTTGTATCTGTTCTATGATCTGCAACATTTATTGTAATTCCGGTGAAAAAAGTTGCAGGTATTGTTGACTGTACAAGACAATGAGCTGCTGTCAAAATCCAATATTTGTCAATAATTGATCCTGCACAATGAATAGAGCCTCTTCGAGTCAAACTAACTATCCATGGCCAAGAGTTTGGTCTAGCCTCTGTTCCTCCTACAATGAGAGACTGTGGAGACTGAGATCCAGGGAGTACCTTGCGCTTGCCACAGGAGCTCATTTGAGAAGAAATACCTGTCAAATTTTCATCAGATTTCTATTAAAGTTAGTCAACAAACATTTTACTCTGTCAATAAATTTGTAATAAAACTTAGTCGGTAATACAAAAACTAGGATGCTCTGTCATTTTATTGACTTGGTTTACTTCTCTTCAATTATAATGTTAAATATCAAGTGAGTTGAAGAAAAATGGGTCAGTGCTATTTTAAGGACGTCATGCCGTCAGTTGTTTTACATCCAAGTAAATATTTTAGACTTTGACAAAAAATTGATACATAGTATTTTTCAAAATAACTAACTGTTTATCTTTAGAGAAAACTAGCTCAGTGTTGTGGAAGTGGATGTATATCAATATTAACTGCTATTAAATGAGATATGATCTCATTCACATTCACATTATCTCATTCATATTCATATTCATATCACATTCATATTCATTCACATTATCTCATTCACATTCATAAAACATTCACATTAATATTAACTGCATTGTACACCTAATGATATTAATATCCTATTATACAAGACAAAGCTTTAATTAATCTATCAATTAAGATAAATCTTCTTCCATTTAAAGCCAAAAATTACTGATGAGTATTTAAAATAGGTGTTTCAGCAACAGTTGTTGGGTACAAAAAATTGAAAGGTGTTCAAAGCTAACAATGAGCATTTTAAGGTCAAAAGTCAGTAGTTCATCGGGTTTGAAAGGTAAAACATTTTGTTTTTATGTTACATTTCTGTTAGCTGCTACATGACGTGATTATTCTAAAAATTTGTTAAAAAATGTGGTTCGTTACAGTAAATTAGTCATAAATAAAGTGGTATTTGGAAAAGTTTTTTTATCAGAATTAATTAAAACCTTGAAATCGAATTACTTGAAAGGTAAAATTTTATTAATGTAAACTTTCTTCTAGCTGGCATCATAGCCTACATTTATAATAGTGAATGTTTTATGAATGTTTTATGCAGTGCGGTGTTTGAAATTAAATGAATATATGATCTTTGCACTTTGCTGGACAATTTAAGCAATTGTCTCATGAACCTGAAAAATTCAGGTGACTCCACGGGATTCGAACCCATGTGCCCGGTGCAGTGCTATGACCAATTGAGTATGTGAAGTCACACAGGTGAGTTGTCAAGAATTTAGTGTTTGAAATGAATTATGATCTTTTTGCTGGACAATTTAAGCAGTCCTGAAAATTCAGGTGACTCAAGGATTGACCCATTCTGCGGTGCTGCAGTGCATGACCAGAGCTATGAAGTCAAAAGCAGGTCAATTTTGTTGGGCTGATGTTTTCTCGAAAATGTCTTGTGAATGGTGTGGTGTTAGTGGAATGATCAATTGAGCTTGTCTCATGGTGAAAAATGGTGACTCAAAACACCTCTGCGGTGCTGGTGCGGTGCTCTGACCGAGCTGAAGAACAAGTTGTTGGGCTGATGTTTTCTCTTCACAGACATTCCTTTCACGAGAAAACATCAGCTCAACAAAACCTGCTCACCACTGTGACTTCATAACCCATCGGCACTGCACCGGCACCGCAGAGGTCAATCCGTTGAGTCACCTGAATTTTTCAGGTTCATGAGACAATTGCTTAAATTGTCCAGCAAAAGTGCGAAGATCATATCTTCATTCAATTTCAAACACCGCACTACATAAAACATTCTTCACAAGACATTTCACGAGGAAACATCAGCCCAACAAAATTGACCTGCTCACCACTGAGTGACTTCATAGCTCAGTTGGTCAGAGCACTGCACTAGCACCGCAGAGGTCATGGGTTAGAATCCTGTTGAGTCACCTGAATTTTTCAGGTTCATGAGACAATAGCTTAAATTGTCCAGCAAAAGTGCGAAGATCATATCTTCATTCAATTTCAAACACCGCACTACATAAAACATTCTTCACAAGACATTCCTTTCACGAGAAAACATCAGCCCAACAAAATTGACCTGCTCACCACTGTATGACTTCATAGCTCAGCTGGTCAGAGCACTGCACCGGCACCGCAGAGGTCATGGGCTCGAATCCCGTTGAGTCACCTGAATTTTTCAGGTCCTGAGACGATTGCTTAAATTGTCCAGCAAAGTGCGAAGATGATATATTCATTTAATTTATAATAGTGTCGGTATCAACAGTTTATTTGAAAATTGACTAAGAAGTTGAAAAAGGAAAAAATAAAATTGTGAATGATTTATGTTATAGTCTTCTTTATGGAATAAGTGCTAATATGTCTTCCAAGCAATTTCGAAAACTTTTCGTCCCTTAAATCTTATCTAAAGCATAAACATCTGTTCAAAGTAAATTGGCACTGTTCATGAGTCACTTATCCAGGAAAGTTCAAATCTAGAATAACTAAAAGAGAAACTGATATCCCAAGGATAGACATATTAAAGTATAGAGACTAAGAGCATATTGATAATAGGAAAAATATTTAAATTTTTAGGAGATAACAATAAATAAAAATAATATTATTCCAATGCTTATCAAAAATGGCTTTGCTAAATTGTTGGAGATGTATTAGAGATTAGAGTTAGGGACAATCTAAAGGTTTATGACTAGAGGTAAGGTTTGGAGTTATCTTTAAAACAAAGCAAGCCGTGTTTTACTTTTAAAACAAGAATCTTTTTTGTGCTCAATCTCTGTAAGGAAAAACAGTTAAAGTACAAATAGCTTGAGCCCGAGAAAATCGTTGCTTGTTTTTAAATTTAGATCGTCATTGTGTAGGTTAGTATAGAGTTATAAGAAGGACTGTAAGTGTTGATGTTGATTGACATTTCCACAACCTTAGTGGTAGTTATCTTCAAAGTCAATTTGAGTTCTCAGAACAGAAATCTATACTGAACTAGACGTTCTACATTTACAAAAATTTAAAGAAAAACAGTTAATGGAAAAGTTTTCTCTAAAGCTATGAATAATAATTTTGAGAAAATCTGAATTTTAGGTTTAGAAGATCGGGCAAGCTTTGCCACTGGACATAGCTAAGAGTTAGTGTTACAAGTTCTGTAAGCAGCAACTGTTTTCTACAATAGTTTGCGAATTGCACTTGTCAATAAGTGGTTATACTTTCTCATGTACTTTATCACCTCTCGCATCTTATATAGTTTATTAATTGTGTTGATGCTACAAAGTCTGTCACAAGTCGAGTTTGTTCACTTAAATGTTTTGGTTATAAGTGTTATTTTAAAATGGGATTTATTTGAAAAGTAGTGATTTTCAAATGTTGGCGGGAATCTTATAAATAAAATTGCCTTATCGGTTCAGAAATGACAAGAGAACTGTCTTTACTGTACATTTTTTAAGAACTTAGTCACAACGGAAACAGTAACTTAAGACAATCAAAAAACCTTCAAAAAAACTACCTTGTTTGACACATTCTCCAAGAACAACTGAAATATCATCTAAGGCAACATAACCTGGGTATGACTCGACGAGTACTTTTAAGACTATCTATAAAACAAGGAAAATTTTTATTAAAACACCCTAAAATGCGCATAAAGACGACGAGTATTTTAAGAATAAACGTGTTTCGACATCGCATGATGCCATCTTCAGTATAAATGAATAATTACCTAAATAATACAAGGTTTATATAAAAATGATATGTACAGTGACATAAATGTATAAATATGGATAAATTTTAACAATGATAAGGAAATGACATAAATTATTGGAAGTATGTTACAAACTAAATATTGTGTTAAATCAAAAAACGGGAACATCGAGGTTAGGGTTAATTAGTTTTAATTGTCAGTATGGAGTGCTTCTTTTAACTTAAGGGAGAACGAGGTGTCTGCAGTGTCGATTATTTTGAAGCAAGTGGGTGAATAGTTGGTTTTACTTGAATGATATTTAAGAAGGGGCCGGTAAATATGAAAGTTTTTGTCTGTTGTGGTATGTTTCCTGATTCTGGTGGATAAATGGCTCAAAGTTTCGCCGGTGTATCGGGAATTACATCCCGCGCAATTGAATTCATATACCACCATGGATTTAAGTGAATCAGGGATTGGGACTTTGAATGTTTAGAAAAGTCAACACAAAATATGAGAACCAGAAAAATTACCTTTATAACGACCCATAGTTTCATCAATGCATACAATTATAATCTAGCTAAGTATTATAGTTCTCTACTAACACCAATTATACCAGAGGACCAGTCCACAAAAAAGATTCTTTTAGTTTCTTCGACGACCTCTCATCTTTCAACTCATCAAACTTCTTTTTAAAAATTCTTCATCTCCTACGAGGTGAAGAATATCAACCTAGCAACTGACGCAGCATTCACTCACAACTCCAGGTTAAATATACACAAGACAGACCTCACACAACTGTTTTAGTAACAACAGCACAGACGCATTTTTATTTGATTGAAAATTTTCTGACGAGGACATAAAGTTTTATAATTACATTAACATACAGCACGCAAACATTTCCAATTTTCGTTGGAAACTTAACAGCAAGATCAACTGCCACTTCTTGACATTTTACTAACAAAAGCCCATGACAACTGTACTACGTTTACATATAACAAACCAACATACACAGGACTTCTGACGAACTATTTTGATTTCACGTCACTTTCATACAAAGCCGCACTTATACGCATACTTATCGACAGAGCATACAAACTTAACAATACAAACATTGGCTTTCAACGAGACATAAACAAAAATTTCAAAATAATAACTCTATAATTTAAGCTACCATACATGGTACATTACCCACGACATACACAGCGCACACTTACCAACATTATGAAATGCTTCTGTACAGATATTTACATTCGAGTAGTTTTCACATCATTCAAAATCAAAAACCTTTTCTCACTCAAAGACCCAATCCCTGATTCCATTAAATATTTGGTGGTATATGAATTCATTTGCACGGAATGTGATTCCCAATATATTGGCGAAACGTTGGGCCATTTATTCACCAGAATCAAGGAACTTACCATACTAGAAAAAACTCTCATATCTACCGACACTTTCTTAAATATCTCTCATGTAAAACCAACTATTCACCTTCTTGCTTCAAAAACATTTACGCTGCAGACACCACATTCTCCCTTAAAATCAAAGAAGCACTGCACAATACCAAAACTGACTCTGACCTCAATGTTCAAGTTCTTAGATTCAACACAATATTTGTTTGTAACACGCTACCCATTAATTTATCTAAATTTCCTCATTATTGTTATGATTTATCTATATTTATATATTTATTTTACTAAATCATAATACTTTTATATAAACTTTGTAGTATTTATGTAATTGTTCATTTATACTGAAGATGGCATGATGAGTTATCGGAAACATGTCTATTCTCATGAAACAAGTCGTCTATATTAAATGCATATTAGCAATAATGCTTCTACGAAATTATGGAAATCTTTCGTTTTAGAACTCTTTTTACCGAAAAAGAAATATTCAAGTGTATAACAAAAATTGTAGCTATTTGAATATCCGTCTATCTACTCGCACGAAAAACTTTTCGAATTACAAACAGTAAATAGCAATCAAACAAGTAACACTTTTGTGGCACCTGATGACAAGCAGTATCAGTCATTTTGTTTTTTGTTTATAGATATGAAACCGAAAACTTTTTTTATAAATATTATTAGGTATTTACAAACTTATAGCTTGTATAGTTTTTTTTCTATTTTGGCAAAGCTATTTTTTGCCATCTGCTAACAATGATTTATGTGCATTAGCTATAATGATCTAAAGGAATCATTACGTATTTGAATGATTACAGTATGTTAACTTTTAAAGATTAAGGATCTAACAAATAATTTGGTAAAGGAAACTTTTATCAGTACGTAAGAAATTTGAATTTTTTTATGACTTATGCATTTGATCAATTTTCTATTGCACTACTTACCGTATAATTTCCATGAGTAAGATTAACAGTTGACTGAGCTTTGTTCCAAAACAAATCATGCTTTAGCGTATCATTCCACATGAGCATGACTCTTTCATTTGATATCAAATAAACGCCAATAGTATTTGGAGCACTCGTATTGCCAGAGCTTTGATACCAAAAACTTAAGCATGACTTTGTTACATTTGCAGTCAAATTGAAAGTGATACTTCCAGACTGAATTCTTTCGTTATAGTTTGTTTGTAGCAAAATATAGTAACCTTAAAAGTGGAGAAATTAAATAATTAACAATAAAAGTGAAACAACGTTGAAGAATGTCAAAATTATCAGTTACCTAATTATACAAAAATTCCCACAACAAAATTTAGAGCACGTATAAAACAGACGATTCAAGGTTAGTAAAAAAGGCAATTTAAATAAATGGGAATAAACGCGTATGAATTTGTCATTAGGAAACATGAATCCTTTAAAAAGCTAAAACCCAATATAAAGCTATGTTTAACTGTGTGTGAGAGCAATTTCTCTTGCAACTTGCATAATTTTTAGTATGTACGTGATTCAATAAAACCATGGGAAGAACGTCAAATCACCTACTTTTATTTCCTCAAATCAACATAAACGCTGTTCTAAACTTAACCGGAAATACAAGCACGCTACGTCACTCAATTTTCTCGTTATCATCGACGTCGCGTTATGTTTGCTAGAGCTGTCTAATGTTAGATTGAGGGGACCAAAAAAAGGGCTTCCTAGATTGGAGACTTGGGTCACCAAGTTAAAAATTTTTATTACTTTCATCCGAAAATTCGTAAAGTACAAACAATTTTAACAACTGCTCTTTGAATTAATACAAAATATAAACACCCATAGTTCGAAATTACATTTTAATGCCGAATAACAAGTTACGGGTTCTGTACGCTATGAAAAAGTTTTGTGCCTTTAAGTGATACTTATATTTCTCGACCATGTTCCGTCTCTTGACGACGTTTGCAGCTTGTGTTTGCTACTCGTAGTTTAAGCAATGGAGAAAAGTTCATTTTAAAGTTCAAACAAAATTTTGAAAATCAATGACATGCATGAGTATAGCATATTTAATCAGTATATAGTAATCAATACTGAGATTGCATTTTCTTAATACTTAGTCGTTTCTCCTACTATTAATATTTTAGCAGCATAAATGTTCTAAATAAATCACATGTATGTAGTCAGCGGAGTGGCAAAAACTTATCACTGACAAGACGCTTCTTTTAACGTTATTTGCCGGGCCGTAGCTTGGAAAAAAAATCAATCTTTCATATTAGTATTAACATTTGGACATAACGTCTGACTTAGACAAATTAAAATACAGATTTAAAAAGAAAAAGATTTTCATAATGAAAATGCAAGCTGTACAGGTAGCCGGAAAGCCCCACAAAGGGCACTTGTGGCTAACTATTGATATCCGTAGAACAATTAGGGGGAAAACAATTTCACGCAGCGTAATTAATATCGATCTCTATGTCTTTATTGCCTTTAATTTGACATGCATTTTGTGCAGGTATTGTAGATATAATAACGCTTAGCTTTTGGGGCATGATTTCCTTTTTCTTTGTACAAGTTAAACAAATTATCCACTTTACATCCCTTTCCCATCGCCAATGCTATGGATTCTTTGTTCAGTTTACATAAAGTGTTTAATTTGTGAACATCAGCAAAGATCCGACATTGAACAAAAATGCTTGTCAAAACCGATAGTCGCCTGGCCTCCGGCCAGTGGCTAATTGTACGTCAAGAAAGAACTGACCTCATAAAATCATGTGCTTTTACGCTTAAGTATTTAGCCTACTGGATGAGCCGCTATTGATAAAGTTTTTGTTAAAAAAAGTAAATTTGTCCTTACCTTAACACAAAAGTTGTTAAGGTATTCTAATCAGAATGATAGAGTTAGTCATTAATTTTAGTTTTAAAATTATATAAATAGATCCTGCTCAATAAGTGTACTGAAGTTTCTTTTATTGTTATTATTTCTTCATAAAAATCTAGTAGTGTTGGTTATAGCTTACAAACTTGCAATAACATATCAAACAAAAGAATTTTTTTTTGGGGGGGGGGTGGAATGAGGCCTTCAGTCTCTTATGCTCTGCAGTTCTTACGTGCAATAACATTATAGTATGTGTCATAGTTTAGATTATAAAATACATGACTTTAATGAGTGAACCTAAACATCCTACCAAGAGCATATTAACAAACTAAAATTAGCATTGTATATATTAGAATGCGATAGAATTTAAGTTCTCAGAGCACAATTATAAAAGAAAGTTAAAATCTTTATACTTTCCACAAAATAACTATCACCGCTATTTCAAGATTTTATTACAAGAGTTTTTAGATGAAGCGTGATACAATTCCTTGGTCATTCTACATTATAAAATTGGCACTTGTCAGATTTCATGCTTACACTTGTCCATAATTGCAAAATCCTTGTTACGGGAAATCGTATTTAAATAGAAAAACTTTCATTCCTTCCAATATTTACCACTTTATTGCAAATCAATTGGCAGAACCTTACTTTTTATTTTACTTACAGCTTATAAAAAACTGACACAATGCTATGTATGACTAATTATTGCAACTTTCAATTAATATAAACTAGGCTTTATTGCAAATTTATATGTAAACGTATAAAATTAAACGAATGCAATGAAAAAGTTCGCAATAAAAAAAGAGTCTATTCTGGGCTATGGTAGAAATTAATTTTTTTCTTAACAGTTCCAGGACTATTTTACATGTCATGTTTTTTTGTGGTCTCTATAATTTTTTTTCGAAAACAAAATATTTAAAATCCGGATGCAACTTAACTCTACATACCTGTTGCAGTGCCAGTTGTATGATCGAAGGTGGGACGATTAATTCCTGATGCTCCATTAGTTCTTACCCAGTTATCTGTCTTTGTCTGGTTGCAAAAACCATTATCAAAAATGCAGTCAATAGACGATCCTAAAAAAAATTTTGAACTGTGACAAAGTGTCGAACGAAATGGAGGTATTATTTGGCACGAGTATAATGCACTACATTGTAAATTTTTCTTACTAATTCAACATTAAAATTATACAACAAGAGTTATCCACTTACTTATTAAAGGAATACTACGAAAAGTCAGCAAAAATCCAGGACGAGGAATAATGACGTCAGACGTAAAACTTATGACAACATTCCCATCGTTGAATTTCTGTGGCTGACCATTGATTGGCGAGTGACCGCAAATGACGTTTGATGTGGCACCATTTGACAATGACAATCTATCCCATACACATGTGGGATGTACTAATTAAATGCATTGAAGTTTTTAAATTCAAAAAATAAGTTAAAATATAACTGATGAGGATTTTTTGTTTGTTTTTATTTTCATTCTATTACATCTTTTATACGCATATTTTTTGATATTCTTTGAAGTTACTAGAGTTGTTTTTGTCTCTATCTCATATCATTAATGAAAATTATCAAAGTCAAAGTACGCAAGTAGAGTCTCTTAATTTAAACCTTTTTAATCGATCAGGACATATTTGTCTATCAACAAAGAAACGGAAAGTCGATTATGCTGTATTTGAATGGTAACTGAAAAATTTCTTTGTGTTTTTGTACACCGTTTCCTGATTTAGGGATAATAATTTACAATTGTAGCAGTAAGGAAAAAGAAATGCCCCCTAAACTGCAACAATCAAATGATGTGTGGGCACTGTGTTAAACTTGAATTAAAGAAAAGATTTGTTATTTTATTCTTCATATAAAAGAATCAACAATTATGTTAGAAAAAAGTTTACAAGATGACAAAATTTTCGTCGCATCTACAACATTGCTTCTGCAATATTTTGTAAACTAATGTCCGAAAGTTATTGTGCAAAAAGTTTTCAGGACTCTAATGTTTTAACGTAACATAAACAAAAACCTATGTATAGCTATCGATGACATTTTTTTAATTATTTGGTAGATACAATTTTACATGGAGATAATGCATAGAAATTTAACTTACATTCAATATCATAATAATTGATGACGATTTCCAGTGCTTTATCAAAAGGAACAACAATTGTGACACTACATCTTAGATTGTTACTGTAGGCATTAGGAAATCCAGGTGAGTAAATTCGACCAGCAGAAGTGTATATCATTTTATTCGAGCAAACACTTGTTGCAGAAGGTAAATCCGTTCCTAGATAATTTAGGACAAATAATGGTTTTATAAAAATGAAAAGGTGGTGCATGTAAGTATATAGCGAAGTGGGCACGAAGCAATTTTTCAAAACAGTTAATTTTAAAAATATTTTTTCGAATATGAAATACGAATGACAATATTCTTTAACAAATTATCGACCAAATTTTGCAAATATTACTATGGCACATTTTTTGCAAAAAAGAAGTGATAGAAAGATTCTTCCATAAGATTTTTATTTGTTTAGTTCTTTTAGTTTTTATTTAAATTTCTAGATTATCAATTTTTCTTTGTAGTTGCAAGTAGTAACAAAATCAACCCACATAAAATTTTTGACACTGTCATTGTCAATTTTGTTAAAGATAAAAGCAATTTTGTCATAGAAAACTCAAGTTTGTTGTTTTTAGAGAACTTATGAAATTGTATTTTTTAATAATTAGCCAATTATTTATGGAAAGTCTCGTCAAAAATTTACATTTGATTGATTTAGACAAAGGTAAACAGTAGATATATGAAAAAGCGATTGCAATGAGTGAAGTATTTACTTTCCCAAATAATTCATAATAAATAATCGAAAATAATGCTCAATATAAATTATGCATAGATAAAAAAAATTGCAGGGTTTTTTGTCAACAGAGCTACAGAGGCTTGGAGTCAAGAGATATTTCGTTTCATTTGTGTTACAATTAAACTGGAACAACGTGAAAAGCCTTAGATTAAAAAAATGATTCTTTTAAGTTAAGATAGATCATGTAGCTGCATTTGCTTGGGGGCTGTAACACATTTTAGTTACACTAACTAATTTTGTATTCTTATTTGTCTTTTAACAACTTTATGGTAAAACTCTACATTTGTTTTTGCAAACAATTTTGTATCATTATTTTTGTTTTTGTATGGTGTGCATTGGTATATAAAGCACCGTTACATACTTACGATAGAAAGTTGTAAATGTAAGATTAAATCCTTCCATAGGTGCCGTTCCACTTGATCTGAATGTCAATGTTACAACATTGGTATATGGTGTAAATGTTAAAGAGGTCTCGTTGCCACAGAATTGTTTTGATGTTCCACCAGATATAGTAATGGAATCCAAACATATTTTTTGGTTACCTGTTAAATTCATTTATCTTGTTATATCAATGAAAGTTTAATTTTGCTTATTTTGATGCCAAAAGGACCAAACATAAATGGTAGTAATGAATTTCCAGTAAAGTCTGACAATGTAGTAATGCAAAATTAATATAAAAGTGAATGAGTTTTGGCTACTTTGTAAACTTTTGGTCAATTTTTTAACAGATTTATTTAATCGGTAGTTTATTCATACTTCATCAGTGAACAATAGTCAAACATACTTACCATTTTTTATATGTTTTAAATTTATATACGAAACATTGAACTTCACTGCGAAGTTTAAAGGTTGCCTGATTGTTAAGATACAGGTCCTGCTTCCAAAGCCATTCGGATAGTTTGGAGATATGATAGATCCTGTCGTTGAGTTGATTGTTGAATTAGAACAGATGTTGATGCCCCGCTCTTAAGAGAAATTTATTTCTAAGAAACTGTTTTTAAAGATTAAATGTTTATTAAAAATAATAATTATTACATTTTTCTATGATAAAATTATTTTCGAGTGAGCTATACATAAAAAATACTTTAAAGACCAGCAAAAGCAAATTTATAACTTCATGCAAATATTCAAATACTCAAATATTCTTATATTACATCCTACATAATTATGTGAATATCAGATCCAACGTTCATTACCTAATAAATTGTTAGTATAAAACCATTAAAAAAATTCGGAATAAAAATAAAAAAGTAATAACTTACGATAAAAGCTCGAAGGTGTAGAAGAATTCACTGAAATTGTTGACGAGTACCCTATAAATTCAGAAAAAAAACTTGAAGAATTGTCAGTCCTTAATTTGCCCATTTTATATATTTATTCATTTGCATTTAAATTACTTCAATATCGTAGGTTCTGTGTGTTTTGGAGATGTAAAGAAAGTAGCTATAACTAATGAGAATTCCAAAATATGTGAGCAGTCCTCACCGTAGGAAATCGTCGGAGTTGGATAAATCGTTGATGAAATGACAGTAACACCTAAAATACAAAAATTTTTAAAGCTAGCAGTGCTAGTTTATATTATGAATAACTTAATTGCACTGCTGTGGAGTACACAATGTTTATAAATGCTTTAATGAAAATTTATTGTCTACTTAGCTACAAACATATAAAAAAATAAAAAAATAAGAAAAGAGAGTCGTAAGCATCAACATAATGAATTAGGAGGACTAAATTAGGAAATTAAATATTTCTATTTGCATCTCGTTAAAAAATTTTTAAAGTCATGATTGCAAATGATGGCAAAGGAGCGAGTGGAAACCTCGCAGTGGACGGAATTTTACGATATCTGACTGCACTCCAGAATCCTATAGCTAAATACTTTAGCAAAGACTTTCTTTGTTTTGTTTTTTCTTTGTTATAAAAACAAAATTATTCTTGCAAAGTCTTAAATTTGTCAAGCATGGGAGGCCTTATGTGTGTTAAGATGATAACATTCAACTATACTTTAATAGAAGACAGGAAGCGTACAAGGTTATTGTACCTTATAGGGAGGATAAAGTAATGATTCCACGTAAAAAGAGAAGTCCGGAAATAGAAGAGTTGCATAAAACTCACAATAGAATGTGCAACAGAAAAAGTTTAGCAATAATCTATGTATGTGTGGTGGCCACAAATGGATAAAGTATCGAAAAGTAAAGTATGTATATATAACAACTGTTACATAAGCAAAAAACTCCTCTTGTGGATATGGCCCAGCAGACCTTTTAAAAGGATTCACATAACATAGGCTGGTCCATGTTAGGAGAAAATTTTCCTATTAATTGTAGATGCTTATTGAAAGTTGCTTGAGCTGCTTCCAACAAACAAGGCATTGTCGAGAGCGGAGATTGAGAAACAACGCTTCACTTTTGTCACCGATGAATTTCGACAGCAGAAATATTCATAAGCAGAAAACCACAATCTCGTTTAGACATGTTACATCCAGATACGAATGAAAGAGTGCAGAAAAAACTCCAGAGAAAACAGAAAGAATTTCAAGCCCAACATGCAGTGTATCGGCGCTTACGACTCTGTAATCCAGTATTCCAAAAACAAATTGGTAAACTACAGAAGAGGAGCCTGGTGTCATCAGACACAGAATGGACCAGTTCAATATACTATGCAAGTAGATGACTGCGAAATTTGTTGTCATTAAGACAAAGTCATTCACATACAAACACAACAAGGAAATGAACTTAGCCAAAAGATTATGAATAACAACCCGATACTGATCAGAGAGTAATGGGTTCTGAAAAGCTGAATCCACAACTAAATATCTAATAACAGTTAAAGTACGTTTACACACAACAATTTGTCGGGCGGACACTGACGCCATATGAGTCGTTCTTGCTATATTTGGAAAATCGCATGCAATAGCATCAGAAATTTGTGACTCAAAAATCGTATGCAAATCTGTGGCAAGTTAAAGATTTTTTCTCAATGTTAAATAAGGTGTTTTGGCTACTGAAACAAGCATATTATGATTATTTAAAAATAATTTTAATAATGTTTTCTGTCAGTTCGGGAAACGAAAGTACCAAAATACGAGAGCGTTGTTGCATCTCATGTGTAAACGCACTTTTAGACATGCACTAGACATTTATTCATAAAGCTTTTCAAGACTAGAGAACGAACTGCTACTTAATTTTTAAGTTAGATAATTGACATTCGTTTACTTTTAAAACGTTGTTTTGATCCCGAAGAGAAGAAATTTTTATCTGGTAGCTTTACTTCCAGAAAGAAAAAAAAACAAATGTATATATATATGGAGATCTGTTCCAGCGAAAATTATATTAGGCGTATTATTTATAGCTCTATGCAACGTCGAAAACAACTTGACCCGTTACATTCCATCTTGGTAAGCTTTTGCATAAAATCAATTGCGTTACTCATAAATATATTCATTTCGCAATTTTAAATGGCCAATATGAGGTTGTGAATAAAATTGAATAAAATTAAACATAAAGAAGCAAAGAGACTCGCTTGCAAGCTAATTTCTAA